GACCTTATTAATCCCACATGTTCCTATTGGCCTGGTTGGCACAATAAGCCTACCTATCACAATTAGGGAATGTGATCACACCTGGAGATGCCCATCCCCCCACCCCTTTTCTGCAGATAGGTCCAAGGTGTGGTAGCAGATCTGTGGTTGCTCATGAGGCAGTGGGCAATGCTAACCTGGCCAAATCCTAAGTGCATGCACTTAGGTTTCAGCCCAGAGGAAGGACGCCTTTTATTCTCATCGAGACAGCAGATGAGCTGGGGTGGGCCTTGCCTAGCTGCCCACCCACAGCCTGGCTTTCATGGGGTGGAGGCTGCTGCTGCCCTGGGTGGCCTGTGACCAGGCTGCTTCTCACCTTCGCAGGAGCTGGAGCTTGTGGAGGACGTGTGGCGAGGGGAGGCGCAGGACCTCCTCTCCCAGATAGCCCAGCTGCAGGCGGAGAACAAACAGCTCATGACCAACCTCTCCCACAAGGACAGCAGCATCTCCGAGGAGGAGTTCCAGAAGCAGGAAGGTACGGGGAGGGGGAGAGGGGGAGGCTGCTACTAATGACATCACCTAAGGAAGCCCTGAGGATGGGGAGGGTGAGGAGGGCACCCACGGCTCAGTTCCCAAAAGCTGGTGGTTTGAACCCACCCTGTGGCCTTGTGAGATAACCCCAAGGTTGGCGGTTCAGACCCACCTGCTGCTCCTCTGGAGAAAGTTGAGGCTGCCTGTACCTATTAAAGATTTACAGTCTTGGAAACCCTACAGAGGGTCATTAAGAGATGGAATAGACTTGACAGCAGAGGCCCTTTCTGAAAGGTCACAGTCTTACAGACCCTGTTGAGCGTTCCCCCTGCACACACCTGGGGTCGCCAGGAGTCAGAACCGACCCAATGGCAGCCCCACCATCAGTAATAATGACACAGCTTGCATGAAAGAGGAAGATAATACACACTACAAGGGGGCGGTAGGAGAAAGTGGTGGGGAGGACAGGGCAAGTTTAAGTTGTTGAGTACAAAAGCAGTGATCTGATATGTAAACCCTCCCCGGATTCACAATGGAATGTTTAAAAAGTAGAAATGGCGATAAGCTTGTCCGAGCGTTGGAGTGAGGCGGTGGCTTCCGCAGCCTCTGTCTTGTTGGCAGGTGGGTCCGAGCCCTGGTGCTGCCAGAGAGGAATTGTTCTGGCTTTGTCCACAGGCGGAAACGGATAGGGCTGCCCCGCCAGCTGCCTGGCTCTG